CACATCGAAGCTCATAGTCAGATGGTCACTTTAAGCCTTGATTGGATGATTGTAACTGGAGCTGCAAAGACCAGGAGAAGGTTCTTTAGGTCTGATCACCCAACTTCTGAGCTAAGCCTCAGCTGTGAGTGACTCTACCAGTCCTCATCGCTCAGAGACATTTAAATGTCAGATGGAACTCAGATCTTTGCCTTTAATTGATTATGAGACAATAAATACATTTTATGGAGCTCTTGTCTGCTCTATGACTGTTGGCAGAATGTTGGAGCTCTTTGCTTTGAAAAGCGACTGGGGTCAGAAATAGAGAAGACGCCTCAGATAGGATTGTTTCTGCCTGGAGGTCAACTGATTGCTGCATTAAACATGGAGTCATTTCATTGGAGAAGGTTTGCATGGATTAAAGGTTAAAGGTTGTTAGATGTTATAAAGTGATATTAAGGAGGGCTAGGAGAAGGAAAACTGGGTCCATCTGTTCTGGAAGTCTTTGAAACTGCATCACTGTAGCTACATTTTACAGAAATAAAATCTGATTTAAGACAAACAGAACCAGAGGAACCGGGTCAGCTCAACCAAACATCTGGAGCTGAAATAAAAAAGTAATATCTTTAACTGATCCCAACAACCAATCAGGTGAATTCTTCTGGTTAGCATTAAAGCCTCAGATTTTTATAATAAAAACCATTCAAAGGCTCATGAAAGTTCTTCCTCTAGGAAACGTTGATCATTAGAATGAAGAGGAATGCCACCAGAACAAAGATTTGCTCATGAAACAACAGAAAGCATCTCGATGGATGGAGCAGATGACGTGTTCTTAGTGCTGCGCTTTAACTGAACTGGATCAGAAGATCATGGTAGAGGAAGATGGCAGTGACAGAGTTTAAGGTAGACGGAGTAGAAGATTTGGACTCACCGAGCAGCAGGGAGACAGAAGGAGCCATCATGGTGGCTGGATCAGGTCTGAACCTCCGTCTGATCAGCAGAGAGGAACCTTCTGCTGCAGCACTTCCTCATCAACACGTTCCCCTCCCTGACCTGCAGCACAATTGTTGTTAGGGGCAAAGCTGATGTCATCCAAGCCCTGCTGGGTCCAAGATGTCTCCATTAGGTTCATTAAGTCATGTAGAAGAAGACCAGAGAGCCTACATCTATCTTCCAGGAGGTCTTCTCTTTCCTGGCTCCTCCATGTCTCTCAAGTTTTGGATTTGAAAGCAAGAGAAACTTTATGATTATATTTAGCCTTATAGACTTTAACCTTATTTAAGTTGCCTTTAGCTTCTTTTGTCTATTCCTGGTTATTCTTTGCTGCCTCCTACAGTCCTTTCCGTTCCCCTTACTTCTGTCCACACCTGCTCCTTATTAACTAATCAGTCCTCCCATTGTTTTTGTCTCCCTTACAGACACCTCATGTTCAATTGCTCAGCACTGGATCCTCATCATTTTTTAGGTTCATTCCCCTCTTGTGTCTCCTAGTTTTTTGAGGTTCTTGTCCATCGTTCTGGACTATGGATTCTGTACTTACTCCTTCATTAAATTTTGCAAGTAATCATCTCTGCCTCTTTAGCTCTGCATCTGGATCCACAACTAACTTCCATTTAAACCTGACAGTAGGATCCAGCCAAGAAAAATGGACCCAGCAGAATTCCCCATCAGAGGAAGCCACGACAGCCTCCCCGATCCGTCAGCCTGAAGCCGCCAAGGCCTCACCAATTGCTCAGCCTGAAGACACCACGGCCTCCCCGATGGGTCAGTCTGAAGCCGCCACGGCCTTCTCGATGGGTCAGTCTGAAGCCGCCACGGCCTCCTCGATGGGTCAGTCTGAAGCCGCCACGGCCTCCTCGATGGGTCAGTCTGAAGCCGCCACGGCCTC